TCGTGTCTGTTGAGCACTTACAATGTGTTGGGCACTGTTCTAAGGACTTTGCCTACATCATCTCTTTTCACTCTCCCAACAACTCTACAAATTAGGAGCCACTATGATGGCCATTTTGAGGTTAGGAAACCGAGGCACAGACAGGGGTCTGGCCCAAGGTCATACATCTAATAAGATCTGTGTAATTTTAAGCCAGACAAGGTGCAGAACTATTGGGGATGACCTTTGAAATTCCCCCTTTGCCTGAGTTTTGGCTCCCCAGTAGCAAAGTCTTGAGCGCAGGTAGTTTATGTGGGGAGTGATCCCAGGAAGGAGTGAGGGCGCAAGAAGAATGATACAGATGGTGTGTTAGTGAGGTCGTTGCTGTAGCAATAGGGTGGGATACTACTATTCTTTGAGAAGGTCCAAATGGCCTAGAGTGCCTTTCACAATTGTCTACCTGTGACAGTGGAAGGCTGGCTTTTACTTACCAGCTCCTGTCCCCATCAGCAAACACCCCAACACCTCTGGGATGTGCCTGTGTATGGGTAAAGCTCCCACAGGGGTGGAAAATATGGAAGACTTTGCAAGCTTGGGCTGAGAAGCCAGCAGTGCTAGATGCTAGGTCTAGGTTTGCACAAAACGTCTCACCACAACTTCAACTGAAATCAAAGGTGGACGGAAGGGACGTGCCACTGACACCGAGGTCTTTGATCCACCCTCTCCTCGTCAACAAAGCTCACATCTATTCAGACGTCTACCCATCACTTAACCCATCCAGGGGCCTCAAAGGAGGCTGACCCCAGGGGTGTGGCTGATTGGTCTCCTCCAAGCCAATCACAGGCATCCCAGTAAGTGACAGGTTCCAGCACCCATCCTTGAGCAGCTCAGCACATGGTATATTCCTGGAGAATGTTATTAATCCTGGGTAGTCATGTGACTCAAGCTAGCCCAATCAGACTGAGGAGAAAAGCTCTAATTCCATCTCACTGTGGGCGAGGTTCTCTCTCTCTTCTGGATGTGAACTGCTATAGACTGAATGTTTTTGCCTCCCTAAAATTCATCTGTTGAAGCCTAATTCCCAGTGTGATGGTCTCTGGAGGTAGGGCTTTGGGGGATGATTAGGTCATGAGGGTGGAGCTCTCACGAATAGGAGAGCCCTTATAAGAAGAGATCCCATCCCCTGGCTGAGTCACTTTATTTTGTTGGGCCTTTTTACTTTGGCTTCACTGTTGCCTTCCTGATTCTCCCCAGTTAGGAAAAGAAGACGAAGAGGAAGAAGACCTAGAGAAGGAAACCCACACTCAAAGCACCCAGGACTGCCAAGACAGAAGGACCTTGGACAGAAAAGAAGGTAGCAGAGGCCACATTTGGTTGCCAGTGCTGAGATGGCCACATATAAAATTCTCCAGCTCCTTGGTTGAAAAGTCTGAAATGTAGAATAGATAAACAAGGTTATACTGTATAGCACAGGGAAATATATGCAAGATCTTATGGTAGTTCACAGAGAAAAAAATGTGACAATGAATATATATATGTTCATGTATAACTGAAAAATTGTGCTCTACACTGGAATTTGACACAACATTGTAAAATGATTATAACTCAATAAAAAATGTAAAAAAAAAAGAGAGAGAGAGAGAGATCCTAGAGAGCTCTCTCACCCCTTCCCTTGCTGTAAGGACACAGTAAGAAGATGGGCATCTATGAACGAAGAAGTGGGCTCCCTCCAGACACCAAATTTGCCAGTACCTTGATCTCAGACTTCCAGCCTGTAGAACTGTGAGAAATAAATGTTTGTTGCTTAAGCACCCAGTCTAAGGTATTTTGTTTTAGCAGCCTGAGCTGAGTGACATGAACAGAGAAGGAGGCTGACCCACTGGCACTGGCAGTCTTCCTGTGACCACGAGGAGAAACAGTTTAAGAGAGAAGGTGCCTCAAAGCCCCAAGGAGATGCTCAGCAGGTACCAAAGGTGTAGAAGAAAAAGGCAAAGTTGCTGCATAAAATAGGAGCAGGAACTTAGTGGCTGGTAGAGGAGACAAAGAGGAGAAATGGGCAAGCCATAGAAATGGACAAGAGCATTTTAGGGGCAGAGAAGTATAAGATTTAATGTTCCTTTTGTGGCACAGAAATCCTTTCCACTCTCCAAATACTCAGGAAAGTCCTATGCATACCTGAATGAGTGATGTACAAGATTCTCTGTCAAAAGTAAAAGGGAAAGGGAGGTGCAGGGGGCCCAGGAGCAGGATGAGGGGAGCAAGTAACTAGGGCCTTTGGCAGCAGACAACAAACATAGACTCTGGCTGTTTTGGACAGAAAAGGAATTTATTAATGTCCTGCCCCTTATTCCCCTGGGCCACCTCTGCAGCAGGCAGCTTCATCCGCCGGGTCCTCAAACGTTTGCTCTGTTTGAGTACAGAGCAGCCCAGAAATGGCAGACTTACCATCCTCAAGCCACCTTCAACCAGTGAGGGACAGGAATCAGAAGGTAAATATGCAGTCCCTCCCAAACCCCATTCCTCAGAGGGATGATTTCTGATGCAATATGCTTCCTCTCAGAGCCCCCAGTCCTTCCTGGGATCACCTCCTACAGCAAAGGAGACCTTCCAAAGATGGTCACAGTATCTCCCTTGTGGGAACACGCTCTTCTAGAACCTTGCTACTCCTGTCAAGAGATGGAGTCTCTGTCCCTTCCCTTAGTCACTATGGGGGCTTGTGACCACTCCCACAAATAGAACGAACACAACAGAAATGATGCTGTATGACTTCCAAAACTAGACTGGAAAAGGCCATGAAGCTTCTGCCATGTTCTCTCGGGACAATCATTCTTGGAAGCCAGCCGCCATGCTATGAGGAAGCCGAGGCAACGTGGAGGTGTTCTGGCTGACAGGCAGCATGGTCCACTGGATGGACATGAAGGTGAAGTCACCAGATGGTTCCAGCCCCAGCCATCAAGTCACCCCCAGCTGTTGAGTTACCTCCCAGCTGATGGCCCAGACCCTACACAGAAGAGACAACCAGTCTGCACTCTGCTCTGTCTGAATTCTTGACCCACAGAATCTGTGAGGATCATAAAATGGTTGTCTCAGATCACTAAATTTTGGAGTGGTTTGTGTCACAGGGATAAATAACTAGAACATCTCTCAAATAAAGTACCTGCACACACGTCCTTGTCTCAGGGTCCACTTCTGGGAGAATCTAAACTGAAACAAAAGGGAATTGTGTAAACCCCAGAATTTCTCCAGCCTCCAGTTCCAGGCTTAATGGAAGGTACCTCATCTCAGTCCCAACACGAGGCTTAAGTCTCCATCTCATTGGTTTAGGGACAGATGGGCCAATATAATTGGAACTGCTGACTGGGCAGGTCCTCTTCCCCCTCCGTCCTCCCCCTCCATGGGGTCTGCCCACCAACCACACAGGAAAACTAGGCTGCAGCACCAGGCCTTGCCAGCTGTTCCCCGTGCACATGACAACCAGGGTGAGAAGGAGAACCACCACAGCAGACGTGCCTGCCTTCGTCCAGGTCTGGGGCTGTGTCATCTACCTGCTTTTGCTCAAGCTGCTCTGTGGCTGGAATGTGCCTCCCACCTACTTCAGATTCAGCACTTTCTATGTGCCAGGGACCTTTCTCAACACTTTATGTGTGTGTTATTCTCATTTGCTCTCCCTGGCAATTGAGAGGAGAAACCAAGGCACAGAGAAGTTGAGTACCCCACCACATACACATACACACACAAACAGAGGTCACACAGCTAGTTAACTGTGGAACCAGGATTTAAATCCATGCGATCTAAGTGATTTCAGAGCCCACACCCTAAACCAACACCTGTGCCTTCCCTCTTCCCTTGCAGGACCAAGCCATTTTTTTCAATATGAATACCTGCCCTCCAGGGAGCCTCTCCTGGTTCTCTCAGTCAAACGCCCACCCCTTCAGCACTGTGGGTGTTCGTGATGAAACAGTAGTCTTCCTTGGGTATCGCTACTGGAAGCACTGATAACCCCCCACCCCCGCTCCACTTTCCCTCTATCAGCCATTATCTCCGAGTGTCCTCTCAATCTCCCCACAACCATTTTACAGAAGAAAAGGTTAAGACTCAGAGAGGTTAAGCAACTTGCCTGAGACCACACAGCTAGGGAGTAGCCAGGTGGGATGTGAACCCAGGCAAATCTGTGCCAAATCCCTAATGTTGCCATAGATGCTGATAAACACCTGGGATCTAAACCAGAGCCTCTGCCTACCTCCCTCTGGCCCCAGAGGACACTGGGTGCTGAACCTAGGCTCAAGAGGGGATAGAGGGCTTTAAACAGGAGAGTGAGGACAGAGGTCTGCACGTTTGGACCTCAGTCATCTACCTTTTGCAGCTGCGGTGTCTACATCTGTAAACAGGTGTCGGTGGCTAAGTGGCCTGGGACTCTGAGCTCAGATAACCTGACTTTCATCGTCTGCCTTACCTTGGACAAGCACTTCAGCGACTGTGAGGATGCAACGAGACAGTGACTAGAACTTTAGGGCAGTGCCTACACATAGTCAGCAGGATCCCAGAAGGCTCCCTGTGACAGTTACTTTTGCTTAACCAAGGAGACCAGCGGTGGGTTGGGAGCGCGCTCTGGAACCAGACCCTGGTTAAGGCACCTTACTACCTCAATGACCTTGGGCAAATTACCTAAACCTGACTGTGCCTCAGTTTCCTCGTCTGTAAAATGGGAATAATCATCACACCAGCTCGTAGGGTTGTTTTGAGGCTCAAATAAGTTGACGTACGTGCAAAATGTTTAGAACAGTGCCTGACACAGCACCAGATTCGTCAGATTCGTATAATTACTGCTGGTACTATCACCTCCATGGCTATTACTTCTAAGGCTCCAAAGTCCGGGCGGCCAAGCGGGGCAGGTTTTGCCGACTCACCCTCACTAAGCAGCTCCGGCCCTTTCCCCCTCGCGTCCCCGCCTCCCGCGGGCCTGAGTCACCCCGGACTGTGCGTCACTCGAGCCCCTCCCGTCCCACAACCTGCAGACTCACCCTGAGTCAGCCCGCCCGGGCGCTTCCACTCCCGGGACACCGCACGGCGGAGGGGAGGCGGCGAGGCGCCCCCCCGGCGGAGAACCGGAGCCTCTGGCGTGTCGCTCAGCGCCGCGCGAGCGGAGCCGAAGTCCAGCGGGGGCGCGCGGGAATGGGCCGGACCATGCGGGGCGGGGGGAGAGAGGCGCTCTGCCGGGCCCCCCACCGCTCGCGCGGAATGGTACGGCCCGGCCGAGATTAAAGTCCGCGGGGAGGCGGCCTGTCCCGCGGTGGCAGCGGCGGTGACGGCGCGATGGGGCTGCGCGCGGGAGGAGCGCTGGGCAGGGCCGGGGCCGGGGAGGGCCGGGGAGCGCCCGAGGGACCCGGGCCAAGCGGCGGCGCGCAGGGCGGCAGCATCCACTCTGGCTGCATCGCCGCGGTGCACAACGTGCCGCTGAGTGTGATCATCCGGCCGCTGCCGTCTGTGCTGGACCCGGCCAAGGTGCAGAGCCTCGTGGACACGATCCGGGTGAGGCCCCGGGGAAGCCAGCCGCAGGGGGGGCTTCGGAGGAGGGAGGTCACGCTGGACGCGAGACAGGACTGGTTCCACTCTCTGCCAGAACTCAGCATTTGCTGTGTGACCTTGAGCAAGTAGCTGGGCCTCTCTGGGCCTCTGTTTCCTCATTGAGCAAGGAGATTGGAGGAGATAACTAAAATAACGATCTCTGACTCCTATAAAGATAGCACTTGAAGTGAGTGGCCCAAAAGCTGTTTTACGTGCCTTATTTTCTTCATGCCAACCCTATGAGGTACACACTACCACTGTTCCTCTTTTACAGATGAAGCGTTGTGGCAAGAGAGGATTCAAGCAACTTGTCCAGGGTTAGGCATTTTAGAAAGTGGCACCGCCTGGCCCCAGTGCCCAGCTGCATGGCCACCACATTATCCAGAGATAAGCTGTGCAGTCACTCCTGACTGTGGCAGTGGGACTGGGAGTGTCATGTCTGCTAGGAGGGCCTTGTTTGACCCGGAACTGGGCGAGGACAGGTCAGCCACATCACAGAGGGGTGCTCGAGAAAGTTTGAGTGATCCTGGCAGGACCTTGAGGGGAGGGAGGGGACATATGTGTCAGGTGGGGCCTGCCCGGCATCATGTCTGCCTCCCCCAGACCCTTGGAAGGTGACCATGTGAGACCTCGAGGCCCCACCAAAGACCTCTCCTGTTTACCCTACCTTCCCCCCAACCCAAGTGTCTTTCTGTCCTAGAGTTTGCATTGCTGTTCGCACTGCCTGGAACTGCTTCCCAAAGAGCCCCAGGGCCTGCTCCCTCGCTTGGGTCAGGTGTCCACCTCCCTGTCAGCCCTCCCCCTCTGTAGCTCTCCCCTTAACCTCAGGTGTTTCTCCTTAAAGCACTTATGTCCACCAGAGTCATAGTATACATCCGTTTGTTTGTGTTTTATTGTCTGTCCTCCCCACCTCATGTGAACTCCACAGAAGCAGGGACTTTATCCTGTCTTGGCTGTTTCCATAACACGAGCAAGGTGCCTGGCTGTTTGTGCTGGACCTGGCTGTGCATGCTCTTTCTCGCCCCTGGGCCTTTGCACAGGCTTTTTCCCCTGCCCAAAAAAATCTTTCGTCTCTTCTTTACTGTTTCTAATGCTTTCTTGATCTTCCTGTCTCAGTGTCAGTGTCTTCCCTGACAGCCCTTACTGGGTTAGGGGCCTCCTGGGGGCCCTCAGCCACCTGCATGCCCACCAGCACAGCTCTGATCCCACTGGGTTGTAATGGCCTCAGACACCTGTCTTCCCCGCCAGAACCATATGCTCTGTGAGGGCAAGAACCAAGACTATCTTTGTTTACCATATGTATTCGATTTCTATGGCGACTGTAACAAATTACCAGAAACTTGGTGGCTTAAAACAAAGACAGATTTTATTATTTTATAGTTCTATGGTTCAGAAGTCCAAAATGGGTCTCACTGGACTACAATCAAGATATCAGCAGGGCTGCATGGTTTTCTAGAGTCTCTAGGGGAGAATCCTTTCCCAGCTTCTAAAGGCCACCCACGTTTTTTGGCTTCTGGCCTCTTTCCTCCATCTTCAAAGCCAGCAACATCAGACCTCCTCTGGTTCCTCTCTCTTCCACGTTTAAGGTCCCTGGTGATTACATTTGGCCCATCTGGATAACCCAGGATAATCTCCCCATCTCAAGAGCCTTAACAGCGTCTGCAAAGTCCCTCTTCCATGTAAGGAGAATACTCACAGGCTCCAGGGATTAGGAGTTGGACATCTTTGGGGGCCATTATGCTGCCCACCTGTCAGCAGGCCCCTGGGTGCCCAGCACAAGGCCCACCTGGCAGTTGCCCCTTGTTCCCACTCCACTGCCAGGCAGCCTGTGCTCCGAACCTCACAGGCATCAGCTCCCTGACTTCAGCAGCAGCCCTATAGGGTGTCCGTTCCCACTTTACAGTTGAGGAACAATGCTCAGTGCTGAGACCGCTTGCCTAGCCTCCCTCTCCCCCCCACCCCCCACCGCTCTTTGGAGGAGCTGAGACTCAAACTCGGGTTTGCCTGGTTCAAGAGCCCAGCTCATGGGCCGTACTGCTTAACAATCATCTCTGGGATAAATAGGTAAATGGATCCATCAAAGCAGCCGAATAAGAGACCACCCACGGGCCAAGGGCAGGAGGCAACTCACACTTCATTTGGTCTCCCCAGCAGGCCCTGCCCCCATCCCCATCCCACCCCACGCCTGGCTTTCTACACGTGGAGGATCACCATTCTCCATCTGGCGGCTTAGGCCCCAGGCAGGGAGTCAACTTAGACTCCTCCTCCCTTCTCTCACATTCATCCCTCCTGTAAAAATCTGCCCCCTAAAATTGTCCCAAACCTGCCTACTTCTCCCTGTCCCCGCTGCACCCTCACCCAGGCCAGCATCTTTGGCTGAATACCTGCTGAGGCCTCTGTCCTCCCTGATCTCGCCTCTGTCCACTCCACTAAGCCTGCTCTCCCATGACAGCTTTCTAGACTGTTCCTCAGATCATGTCACCCTCCCCTGTTTAAAACGCTCCAGGACCTAAGAGGTACAAACTTTCAGTTATAAAATAAAGGAGTCCCGGGTCAGAAATGTACAAGGTGGGGACTATAGTCAATAACTATGTAATATCTTTGTATAGTGACAGATGGGATGGTAACTAGACTTATCATAGTGATCATTTTGGAATGTATAGAAATATCGAATCATTATGTTGTATATCAGGAACTAATATAGTATCATAAGTCAATTCTATTTCAAAAACAAATAAACTAGTAGAAAAGAGATCAGATTTGTGGCTACCAGAGGTAGGGTTTGGGGGGAGTGGTAAGGAGAGGGAGAGTTGTATGAAAAGTGATCAAAAGGTACTAACTTCCAGCTATAAGATAAATAAGTGCTAGGGATGTAATGTACAACGTGATCAGTATAATTAACACTGCTGTACACTACATGTGAACGTGATTAAGAGAGAATCCTGAGTTCTCATCACGAGGAAAAATGATTTTTTCTATTTCTTTAATTTTGTATCTGGATGAGATGATGGATGTTCACTAAACTAATTGTCATCATCACTGCATGATGGATGTAAGTCAGTACACCTCCACCTTCTCCAGTGCTGTATCTCCATTCTGTCTCAATAAAACTAGAAGAAAAAATAAATAAAAGAAATAAAAAAAATGCTCTAGGGCTGACCCCCTGCTACCTTTCTGGGCTCTTCTACTCCTTGAGCCCCCTGAGTCCACTCTGGTCATACTGCGCCCCTTGCTGTGCCTCCAGTATCAGAAACGTGTTCTTTTTTTTTTTTTTTTTTGCATTTGCTGTTTCCTTTGCCTAGAATGCTCTTCCCACAGGTAATACACAGTGTGATTGTTGAGCACTTTCCACACACCCAGTGTCATTTGAACCAATTTATATCTATTAACTCATGACACCCTGACAGTTCTAGGAGGTGGGGCTGTCATCTTCATCCCCACTTGATAGATGGGGCAACTGAGGCACAATTGTGAATTGCCCAAGGTCACAGAGCAGTTAAGTAGCAGGGCTGAGGTTTGAACCTGGCAGGTGGGCTCTTTCTCTAAACGATTCCACCTCTCCATCTTCCCCAGGGAACTTCTCTGTGTTCTGGTCTCTGTACTCCATTGTCACCCCAGAGAGGCCTCATGTCATTCCTGTCGTGTCAACCTGTGTTATTGTCTTCATAGCATTTCTCACTCTAACATTGACTTTCTCATTCCATCTGCCCCCCTAGACAGAAGCCCCACGAAGGCAGGGGCTGTGTCTATACCTTATTCACAGTCTAGAATGGTGCCAGATAATATATGCAAATGGTATGATACATGGTTAATAACCTAGTCTCTAGGGAGGGGAAAAAAGCCCTGATTTGTAGCATCTGCCCATTTCCCTGATGTAAACACTCTCACCATGGCTGACTTTCAAGCTCCCAAGGTGATGTCAACCAGTTCACAAAACTGACTGTTTCACAGCACGAGCCAGCGTGAGCACCCTGGAGGAGCTCAGCACAGGTGAACAAAATCTGCTTTGCAAACTGTGAGGCACTGTGCCACACTCACTCGCCCTCTTCTCTCCAGGAGGATCCAGACAGAGTGCCCCCCATCGATGTCCTCTGGATCAAAGGGGCCCAGGGTGGTAACTACTTCTACTCCTTCGGGGGCTGCCACCGTTATGCAGCCTACCAGCAGCTGCAGCGAGAGACCATCCCAGCCAAGCTTGTCCAGTCCACCCTCTCGGACCTCAGGGTGTACCTGGGTGCTTCCACGCCGGACTTGCAATAGGAGCCTCCTTGCAACTGGCCACCGCTCGCAAGAGCCCAGAAGACATGCCCCGCCTCCAGTGGGCTGGGCCAGGAAGAAGGTGTAGCAGGGGTGCATTCTTTTTGTGCCTGGGGAGCAGGTATGACTTGAAGCACCCTCTTTGCTAGCTGCAAGACCTTGGGCTCATGACTGAATTGTGTGGGAGCCCCACTTCCCACCTTGGTGAAAATAGGATCGTGTGTTTGCTCTCAAGGGATTATTGAGAGGGTGAAATGAGAAAGGAGATGGGTTTGGAGAGCCACCTGCTGCTGACTCCAGATTCCCAA